CAGCTGTGTTTGTTGACTTATGGTTGAACATGTTGCATGCTAGTTAGATAGAGCGCGGACTTAATAATTACGCAATAATTCTTCACTTCCGGCAAGGGCTCGCCACAGCTAGTGAATTTCACCGGCAGTTAGAAAACGACAAGGAGAAAACTGCGGTTTCACCTTTGTTTACATAAGGAAAATTCAATCGGTATTTTCTTTCGGTGTGACTCCGATAGAAGCCAGTTAGAAAGCAGTATTTGACATAAGAGAGTAGATTTTTTTGGTAAATGACAGGGGGGCAATAAATACCAACTGGTCGTCCATGAATGCCAAAATCTAAAGAATCTGATATTGATATTGAAATTCGTGCACTATGGTGACATGTCAGGCAAGTTTCGCTATTATGTGGTCATCAACTTTCTGAAGGATCATACCTAGGTTAACAACATTATTGTTGAAAAGGCCCGGGCAATGGGGAAATTTGAATGCATAGTCGGAAGAAAGCAGTGAATTTTGAACTTTACACCTTTGACCTTACCCCTAATTGTGATTTATTAAAAACTCCGTGAATGTTTTTTTTTTAAATAAAAAGGAATTAACACCGATTTGTTATGATACTCAATATGGCGAGAGGGATATAATCGATCATGCTTAAGTTTCAAAAAATTATTTTGAGGGGTTTATTTCTAAATACTCTTCGATCATTGTTAGATAATCAATTGCATTGTAGACCATACGTGTGTGTATGTATTCACAAGATCTTTAAATAGATCTTTAATTTGATGCCCACTCAGTTTATGTTACTTGTGCTTTCAACTACTGATTTTACTATGTCCATCTTTTTATATTTGTCATATGCGTTCATACGCAATTTTATGTATCTGTTTTTATATTGAGTGAATAAATGGATTGAATTGAATTGAATTCATTTATTGATCTATCGACGTAAATTTATAGTCATAAAAATTGATAAATATTATGCATATTAAGGGAGTATTGATAAAAATATATATACTCTAAGCACCGCATCTGAAAGATTTAGGGGTATTAGGTAACATTAAGCATGGGCGAGAGTAGTATATGTGGGCTTTTGTGCTATGTGTGGGCGTGTGTAATATATGTGTGGAATAGGTGATATGTGGGCGTGGGAGAAATATGTGGGCGTGTGTACTATGCGTGTGGATGTGTGATACTCGTATGTGTTTCGGATTGGGGTTACATAATTATTAGGGTGTGTGTAATTTGTGCGGCGTGTGTGATATGTGTGTGTGTGATGGATGAAATATATGGGCGTGGGTATATAATTTTTTAAACATGTATTAAGTTAATATAATTATGTTATCATGATGAAAAAGAATTTTATTTTAAATGATTAATTGTACTGTTTTGATAATGAATGAAATCTAACTAAAAATTACCGAAAAACAAAAAAGTGTGTGGTATGTGTAGTTGTGTGAGAATTGTGTGGGTGGGTGCGTGAATGAATTGTTGATTTTGCCCAGATATAAATATCATCTGATTCTTAGCGACTGGATATTAACCCTTGACGTCATCTTCCGATGTGTGTGTGTGTAATTGTGCGCGTGTGTGTGTTGTGGAGGTGTGTAATGGAATAACATGCACAAACAGTATTGGCAACTCTCGAGAAATAAATTCATTTTTAACAATATCACAATGGCAACGGAAATGTCTGTCCTCCATGTGGAATTTATACTTCATAATACTTCATAATGGTTAGCGCTGTGAATGAAGCCAAAGTTTGCTTTTAAAAAGACGCATACTTTAATATGATTAAACTGTTACACCAGATGATGTTGATTATTCATGGAGTTAATATAGTGGATCTATACAGGTAGTATCAATTACCCGTCGATTCAATCATTTACCTTTAAAAAAGGAGGAAATAATTAATGAAAGATACTTGTAGGGAAAGAGCAACCAGAACTTATTTTCTGTTTCGATATGCTTCGTCGTACGCATGTCTATGAATTAGAATCTCTATCTTTTAAATGGTTGGAATTGACCTTGAATTTTGAGGGACCGCTGTACATATTAATATCAGTTATTTTGGCATTCGGGAACATTTTGATAAATCCCTTGAACTATATATTTCAGTATCAGAGATTTAAAAAAGGTTCAATGACCTAACACGTTTGAAAGATACTTGTAGGGAAAGAGCACTGGGAAATCAGTCACGCATGTGTTTGAATATTGTTGGGACAATCATAATTATCTCAAAATGGCAGATCAAAGAAATTTCAAAACACCTTTTCAGTTTAGTTTTTAATGTGCTTTCTTACATTGCCAATCATTTGTCCGATGAAATATGACAGTAATAAGCTCGAGACTTTTTGATAAATAAATTCCTGTACATTTTCTTTATATCCGGTAACCTTAAGGGGCACAAATTAAATACGATATGGACAAAGAGATATTGATTGTGCCAGTCACTGACGCGGCCCTGCGTAAGCAAATGAATCTTCGTGAGCATAGACCATTGTTGCACACGAGTTATCTTTATCCATTTCTTTTCGATAACTGCTTCAGACTTAGCCTTGCCATTCAAAACATATGCTTCTCTCTCCACCCTCCCTCTCTCTCCCTCTCCCTCCTCTCTATCTTTCTCTCTCTCACTCTCTCCCTCACTCTCTCCCTCTCCCTCCTCTCTATCTTTCTCCCTTCTTCCCCTCTTTCCTATATATATATATCTCCCTCTCTCTCTTTCTCTCTCTCTCTCTCTCTCCCCCTCTCTCCCTCTCCTTCTCTCTCTCCATCTCTCTCTCTCTCTCTCTCTCCCCCTCTCTTCCTCTCATTCTCTCTCTCCATCTCTCTCTCTCTCTCTCCCTCTCTCTCCCTCTCATTCTCTCTCTCTCTCTCTCCATCTCTCTCTCTCTCTCTATCTCTCTTTATCCCTCTCTCTCGCACAAGAGTAGAGATTTCGATTTCAACTTTTGTTTAATTGATACATTATTATTCACTGAGAAGTCCTGAACTATTACCAAAAATCAGTCCTAGCAAAAACCTCTCACTCCTCATTGTTTCTCAATAAGAACATGTTTTATTTAAACTAATTAAAGGTAATACAAAGTTTTGGTATGCCGGTCATGAATTCGCTTCAAATGAACATATTGGAAGCATATGTGATTTTACAATATTCAATGATCGTTGTTGAAATCCAGTCTAAAGTGATGAAATTGTAAATAATTAACTATTTATGTTGTAAAGCTCCCTCTCAAGACTGATATTACTTTAGCTTTAAAACAATGTTTCTTGACTACAATCGACCGATTTGCTATTGCCGTTTGGAAATATCAGAACTGCATATTCTGAGATTTCCATGGTCACAGCTACCATGCAATGGCCTTAGGCGCTATTTGAAATTTACCAGGAGCACCCGTAATTTATTGATTATTCAATTTCGAGCAGAAGTGTTTTAGGGGCAACATTTTTTATAGTGCATATACTACATCCACATGGGCATCCAAATATATCAACATTTTAAAGAATTACCATCCATCAAATTTTCAAAATTTCCCAAAACTTTGCATTACCTTTAACTTTATAAATCTCCCTCGTTTCACCTATAGAACGCGATCTTTTCGCATCTGATCTCTAATAAAGCCACTAAACGATAACCCCTGAATTATCTAGCTATTGCGATTGGTCAGTGTCAACGTTGCCTCCGTGTGAATAGTTGATTGACGTTTTACCGAATATATAATAATATGTCCACTTATATAGCGCAGGTATTATGTGAATATACTCAACTGCGCTTACTGCTAAGTCCGCGACCCGGAAACTAATTTTTCTTTCTAGTTTTATTGTGTTTCAAGTTGAATAATAATTTTTTATTGCCATTTCTTTCTGGGAACTTCAAGCACCGAGCTATTATCCTCATATTTCAGTTTTAATTAAAGGTAAATACCAGTATTGGAAACGCCCCAATTTCAAAAAATGAAATGGAAGCTCTCATTACCAATCATGTGAAAGAATATGTTTTGACTAATACATGATGATACAAAATTTGCCGGGAAACCGCCTACTAATTCATATATTTGGTAAATTTGTTTCTCTCATGGTCTGTGAGAGATATAGGGTAGTCCCATATACATCTTTCTGTGTATAGTGCTTGTAACTTTACGAAGAATGGGCCAAATTTCTTGTCATTTTGATGATTCCAGAACCTTGCAGATGCTAGATGCTAGATGTTCAACCTTTTCTGATCGATTCCACAACGTTTCTTTCACAATGCAATCGCATGACCATAACTGGTCTTTACCTTTAAAACCCCAGTCATAAAGGTATAAATTTGTCTACTTTTTGGTAACTGCGCTCATTGCTTGACAAGTTTCGAATGAGAGCAGATCTTTGAAGACCGATCTTTTAGATTCATCATCCGCAAGATATTGGTTTTAAACATCCTTCTATGTCGCTAATTTCAGATTGAAGGATTCGCCAACTTGTGAAATGGACTTTTAAAGCGGAATGGTTTTGCTATCAGTGTCACTTTACGTTTACTTGACGTTTTGTGAGAGATATCATCCTTATCAACCAAACTATCCAGATAATTCATGTGACAGTCCACAACGTTATATTCACTCACCGATAGTTGTTTTTCATCTGGAGTGACTGGTCCTGCAATTTACCTGACTTTATCATCTATATCGGATTTTTGTAAGACGTTTTTGAAAGATTGACCGAACCAGCAGGGTTTGCCTAAAGCTCGAACCATCCTTTTACAATCATCTCTAACAAATATATTTCTTTTGTACTCTGGTCCATTTTTATAAAGAGTATCTGAAGTTCTTATATCGCATTTTTTCATTAACCGGAGGGCGGTTCAAAGGGAGCTATGTAGACTATAAAATTTGAATCATATTAAAAAAGGGCTTCATATCCAGTTGGTTACAGGTATCTGGTATCATTGTCACATAATCCCGATCGGTTCGTTTACAAGGTCTTCGGGGAAGAAAAAAATCCTGAATTAATTTACACTTCATCACCTGCAGTTCGTCACCATGAGTAACTCAAGCTATCAGTCTTCATTTGACGAAGAAGACCAGAACCAACAAAGTACCGATCTCGCTAATACCATCTTGACAACGATCTATATAATATTTACGATTCTGGGTATCGTCGGTAACGGACTTGTCCTCTTCGTCATCGCGCGCATCAAAGATCTCCAAGACGTCACCAACCTTTTCATCGCTAACCAATCCCTTATCGACTTTATGACGTCCTGGTTTCTGTTGTTCGGTTATGTTATCCCCGTTCCTGCCTTGCCTGAGGACCGCCCAACACTTTCTCGGTTTATCTGTTATTTCTGGCACACCAAATATCCGTTTTGGTCTACGATTGTAGCGAGCTGTTTGAATCTAGTAATGATAACTTTAGAGCGTTATATTGCAGCGGTTTTTCCGATCCGATATCGAGTGCATACACTTTCCGGAATGACAATCTCAATATGCCTAATCCCATGGATAGCCGGATTTGTCTTTCAGGTATTCCTACTTTTTTTTAGTAAGGTCGAAGACGAAAAATGTTTGGGTTTCTTGTGGCCTGACGAGGTAACAAAGATAGGAATCGTCCTGACAACCTACTTCTTAGAATTCCTCCTACCCGTTTGCACCATGGTTTATGTCTACGCTAGAATCTTGCTCGAGCTCCGTCGAAGTAGCAAACAGTTTTCCCTACCTTCAAGCGCATCGTCGGCCTCGGCAGTGACTAAAACAAAAGACTTAGGACGCATAGCTACAGACTATCGCAGTACTGCTCGTAAGAACATCATCAAAACACTTGCAACAGTTTCTATCTGCTTCGTAATCTGCATGTCTCTTAATCAACACATCTACCTAGCCTATGGCTTTGGTGTGTATTTGAACTTTGGAGGGCCAATGTACATCACATCTGTAGTGATGGCGTTTGGGAATATTTGGATCAACCCACTAATCTATACCTTTCAATATGAACGATTCCAAAAAGGTGTCAAGAAGGTCTTCTGTCGTGCTCAGCCGCAGCCTTTCAATGTGAATTCTGTGAGTAAATCACTATAGGTGTCGCTAGACTTGATTTCGTTTCATTCACAGCTGTTTAAGAATGTGAAAGACTTTCGAGCTACTGACAGCCGGAACACGAGTAACACGTATAAAGTGGGGTTTAAACTGCACTGTCACTATAAATGATAAAGATTTATGAAGTTTCAATGGGCAACTTGATCAGATATATTGGTAACTAAATAATTACCATATTTGTAAACGCTTTTTTAACAGTCATTTAAGTACAAGTAAGTTGACAGGAAATACAGGCGAGCACATATCATGGTTTCTGCCGAACAACACGCATTATAACAGAACAATTTGACACATCAATATACACAAAGGTGACATTTCTCTAAAAAAAACATATTCGCACAATCAAAATCGAGTGCACGGAACCATTAGGAAATCCGTTAGTGACATTATTGTTCTCTCACAAGTTTTCATTCGCATAGCATGTCGTGTCACTATTTGGTAAGGGAGACCAGCAGTGTCAAAACAGGATATTAGGACATTACGCATTAAAAATAATCACACAGATATCAATAATTTCATTATTGAATACAGGCAATATTGGATATCCAAGATTATATACCGATATTTCAGTATTCCAATTTAATTATATCTTCAACATCCAGTTATTTCTACAGAACGATCAAAGAAACGTGCACGATGTTACCAGACGACGATCTCATAATATTGAAATTTTCATTTTTCATTTAATCTTATCACGTGCTTCATTCCTGTCTACATGCATGGAAAATGATACGAGATTTGTGAAATTCTGTCGCAATTCCACGGTTCCTCTTGGACTTGAAGCACAAAGGTGTATATAAACGCCGCTTAATTTATAGCGAATTAATAAGTGATACGTTACTGAATGGGAAAAACGTGCAGATCTTCGGATTTATACAGGTAATAACTTGAACAATCGCTACTGGTTTACTCGTATATATTTTATCGTTTCATCTAATAATCATGAACTTTTAAACAAATCTAAGAAGTTATCTGTTATTGAAGGGGGAAAACGTGCAGATCTTCAGATTCATACAGGTAATAACTTGGACGATCGCTTCTGCTTTATTCGTATGTATTCTATCATTCTGTCTAATAATCAAGAACTTTTCGAAAAATCATGGCAGCCACCCTCAGCCTTTCTTCAGTTTCTCCGTTTTCAGAGCAAGAACTTCCTGAAAGAGTAATGAGATCAATCTACATCGCCTTCGCTCTCTTTGGCATCATCGGTAACAGGCTTGTCCTGGTCGTTGTCGCTTTCATCAAAGATCTCCAAGGCGTCACCAACCTTCGCATTACTAACCAGTCCCTTGTCGATTTTGATGGCATCCTTGTTTTGGTTGATCGGCTTTGTCATTCCCAGTCCCGGCTTGCCTGAGGACCGTCCGAGACTTTCTATGTTCCTCTGTGGATTTGGTACACAAAATATCCGTTTGGATCTACGATTATAGCGCTTTGTGTCAATCTTGTAGTGAAAACATTGGAGCGCTACACGACAGTAGTCTTTCCTATCCGCTATCGAGTTTGCACAATATCAAAGAGAGTGATATAAGTTTTTCCTATTCGATGGTTCATAGGATTCCTATCTAATCATACTCACTCGAATCGTAAACAATATTTGCCCACAGTTCACCTGGCCAAATAAATGTACCAAAATATTGCTTTGCACATTGACAAACTTCGGCGAATTCTTGCTATCTGTCACCACAATGGCATACGTCTACACCTTGATTTTGCTAAAACTAGGTCGGCGCCCGATGGAACGGTCTTCCACTCAAACGACCAAGCTGAATCTCACCGACAGATTAAGACGCCACGCCAAGTACAATTGACTATCGAGATAAAGCGCGCCAAAAATGCGATCAGAACTTGTTTTCTGTATCGATATGCTTTGTCGTTCGCATATCTTTTAATTTGCATCTCTATCTTTTGTATGGTTGGGGATTGAACTTGAATTTTGAGGGACCGGAACCGCTATACATAATATCAGTGATTATGGCATTTGTGAACATTTGGAAAAAATCCCTTGAACTATACACTTTAGTATCAGAGATTTCAAAAAGGTTCAATTACCTAACACAAAGACATTACAGATTGATTTAAATCATTAATTTCTTAATATTGCGTGGATTAAGACTGAAGAATGGAGGTAACTTGCCTTTATCAGCAGAGATTAATCCAAACAGCTATAAGCTATCAACTCGTCACGACATGGACATTGATTGTGATGCCGATGCTGATTAAGACCCGATAATATCGCGCAAGTTCCAGTATAAATTAGAATATACTCTGTTTCCATCGGAATGTCTATCGTAATTATTACATATACTATGTAAATCAATCTACAGCATTTGCTATTTTGTGAGTAATGCCGAGGTCACATTTGCCGCGGCGGCCGTGGGGTCTAAGAATATCTACGGCCAATAGGAATTATAGGGCCGCCACAGCATTCCCACGGTCACATACGGTAGCAGTCACAATTATTAGGGTAACCGCACGGCGTATTTAGAATTTGTGGAGACAGAAAACCTGCGGCTGGCGTACGGCCTTTGAAGTGATGACGCCCGGTCGCCTTAGGGCGTCCCTGCGGCGGCCGTAGGTTTTTGACAAATATCAAGGTACATGCAAGGTAGCCGCAAGGCCATCGTACGCCTGACGTTTGCTCGCCGTGGAACCGCTCTACGGCATGGCTACGGTGTGTCTAATTGTGTAATTGCTACGGCAAACCTAGAAAACAGTTATAACTCCGCGCTATAATCTCACGGCGAAACGCACGGCATATACAGATAGAAATACGCCCTAGGGTGACCCTGATGGCCACCGCAGGTATCTCTCGATTTCGGAGCCCTACGACCGCCGTATCCTAGCCGTAGAGCAAATATGACCTAGGCTGTACGCTCGGACATCACATTCATGTTTACTGCTACCTCCCACTCAAGCTCCCTGCTTATGATGGTTGGTCTACTTCATTTATTTATTTTTACAGTAATATAGTTAAATTATTGTCACATTTATATAATTGTTCTAATTTCATTTTTTAATTATTTTAATTATTTTACTGGAAAAAAATGTCCTTTGTTATATTTCAATTTGATTTTGTAAAAGCCCCTCTAAAGTGTTGGGAGCCCCGAATTCGCCATGAATGTTATGCAAAAAAAAAAAATCACTTAAATTGTATCATAATGTGAAAGAGGGTGTCATTTAAGACACAGTGCTACAAAGATTGCCCCCAAAATATGTTTGAAGACAAATATTAATGAAAATGTGCAAAATTTAGGTTTTTTGCTTACAAAACCCAAATGTTGTATTTGTAGCGTATAACCACCCAATCGGACTGACTGCACTTCAATAAATAGCGACAATTTCAAGCATGATGCGATACTGTTCACAAAAGGCGGTTCAACCTGAAATTTAATCAGAATTAAACAATCATAAATAATATGTCAATTTTAAACTGTTTACAAACAATCTTGCATCAAATTAGTTGTATGATTAATGCATGTATACTGAAGTTACATATTACACTGAATTCCTCTTTATATACATGTCTACAGTTACCAGAATTTATCTACATTCTGTCACTTTATACAACTGCCTATATATAAATGATATTAAAATAACACAACACGGTCTGTACAACAGACTATCCCCAAAGCACTACACACATGAACCGTATTATGTAACTGCACGTGTAATGCATCATACAAAGTTACTGTGCGTACGAATCACTTTCATAACAAATTTTATACATCAAATTATCTGAAAACTATGAACTGTATAAACCAACACCCAACTCAAACTGACGGCTAGTTATCAATTATCAACATCATATGTTCAAATTATACTCACAACAATGGGCATGTCTGGAAATACTAAATATTGATCGCAATCAAAAGGATGACTTTTCCCAAAATTGAGAACCATTTGCAGCTAAATTGTTACGCCCCCACTCGGCAGACCAAAAATTCAACCAAAAAAAAAACATCGCTTCTGACGTCATACTCCGATCGTCAACTGAAACAAAAAATGTCCTCACAAAACAGAGATTAGTATCTTACAGTATTCTTTCCCTCAATATTTGACTTCAAACACATTTGTTTTGAAAATCCTTGCAGAAATGTGTCTTAAATGACATCTTCTTTCACATTATGATACAATTTGAGTGAAATTTGGCCATCAAATTTTTGGGGCTCCCAAGAACTTTAAAGGGGCTTCAGTAAATGTAGAAATAAATCTGCCTTTAAAAAAATATTAAAAAAAAAAAAAATTATTAATGTATTCTTACCTCTTTTCATGAAAGATTATGACAACATGATTTATTATTGAGAGATAAAGTGTGTCTATCCTCTCATGACTTTATTGATCAGTCAAATGAGCCCTAGAAAATTAAATGATACAATTCTGAGAGGAAATTTAATCTATCAAGAATAAAAATATTTTGACAACCATTTCATGAAAAGAGGAAAAACAAATTATTCCAAATTTATGGGCAAAGTGTATTTTATCTTTACATATACTGTACATACTGTACAAAATGTTTTCAAATTGCGGATTTATAATTATATCGTCGCTGTTTTCACGAAGTGACGGTAGTGAAAAAAAATTGCATTCACTTTGCGTTACGATTTTCCTTACTACCGTCACTTCGTGAAAACAAGGACGATATTATTATTCTGCCACTTTTTGGTAATCTATATATTTTTGTTCAAGTCAATATCTTAACATGTTACAAAAATTATGTGTGTCAATATTTTGAGGGATCCACATGTTACAAGCTCTGCTTTTCAGTGGATCCCTCCATTTCCACAGGTTTATCTTTAAAAACCTTTTAAAAACCATTACACTGGATATTTATGTATACTTTCTATCTCGTAACTTCAAACCATTTAAAATGTATTATATTATTGAATATTGAATTGTATATCTAATTTCGTGTCAAAATTACTGTTCTGTTGGAAATAACTAAAACTGAAACTGAAACTGAAAATGAAATTGAAACACAG